ACAGTTTATTTATTTATTGAGAGAGAGAGAGAGAATGAGAAAGAATATTCCAAGCAGACTCAGTGCTGCTTGCACAGAGTCCAATGAGGGCTCTATCTCACGAACCATGAGATCATGACCTGAGCCGAAATCCAGGGTCAGAAGCCTAACCAAGCAAGCCACGCAGGCACCCTGGAAAATGTATTTATTATTACGGATCGTGGTCAAGTCTGGGGAAGCTCCTGCATTAAAACTCTTCAAGGGCCAACTCTTTTTAGCTCCAAATCTTTAAAACAAAGTATAGTACTTCCTCCATGATACACATTCAATTGATGTGTTGCATGTGGCAAGCACAAGCATCTTTTATTCATCGATTCCACAATCCAAAGAGAGTGGGATGTTATTATCATCCCCACACCCCACTATGGGGAAAGGTGGCTGAGAAGAAGTGACATGCCCATATGCCTCATTAGCAGGTGGCTAGTGGGATTCCCTTTGGAGTCTCTGACTCATCACTCATTCATCTCAGCAGTGGAATGAGAAACGAGATTTTCGAAGACACTGAAGATGGTGGAGGATCCAGTCATCATCTGTTGGGGCCACAGTTTGTCTCCAGACCTTGCTCCCTTCTCTTTCCCACATCACGGTCCTGACACCCCTACCCTCCTCAGAGTGGGGGCCCTGAGAAGGCAAGGTCAGCCCCAGGGCCTACTGGGCAAAGAGCTAGACTTCTGCATGGCCAGAAAAGACTTGCAAGGTCATTTCATCCATATTCCTGTGCCCAGACAACAGTGCGATCAATCCAATGGGAATAGATGGGAATCTTCCATTAGAGAAGGAAGAGATCTCACAAATTCATGGCATAGACCAAGCATGTTTGGAGTTCACGGTTTTAGTCCTATGAGAGAGAATTGTGAGCCAGGATCTGGTCCCAACTCTGCCACTGTGTGTCCTTGGGTGTGCCACACCCTCTCTGCATCCATTTCCTCTCAAGGGGGTGTCATCACCAAGTTCTTAACACTTGTGTTCTTGCTGGTCTCTTCTCCCAAGGTCACCGCACTGGGGCAGAGACAAAGAACGCCCTCTCCCTTCCCTACATCCTGGAGGAAGACAGCAGCACACAAAAGAGCGACTGCTAGCTGAGCTACACCCCCGGGGAAGAGGAAAACCAGGAAAGACTCTGCCGTGTGTTTATGACATTCGAAAACAGCTGCTTCCTCTGCTGCACCCACAGCAATGGCGGCCTGGCCCTGCCCTGACCCCTCCCAGGGCCCCATCGTTTGCCATCTGCTGGAGGGTCAGGGAAGAGGTGACCAGATAGGCAAGTTGTCACCAGACAGGAAATGAACTGATGTTTGTCGCCTCGTCGGAGTCCCTGGGTTACTCTAGGGGTGAGTCCAGCTGTAGGGCTCATATCTTGGTAGGGCTGACTGTGTGTGTGTGTGTGTGTGTGTGTGTGTGTGTGTGTGTAGGCAGGAAGGGCACTGCGAAGGTCAGTATGTGGCTGTGTTTGCATTGGCTTGCCTGACTGTGTGTTTCTGTGGTTCTGATCGGAAAAAGGATGGATGTCTATGTGTCTGGGTACTGCTGGGTCTGTCCATGCGCCTCTGGGTCTCTCTACCTCCAGCCACACGTGTAAAGACCTACATCAGTGTGCAGGCCTATCTGACCCCGTGTGCCCATGTCTTCGTGTTCAGTCCGTGATGCCACATAGGTTTTCTGTTTGTGGTGAGTGCCATCGGCTTCCCTCTCTGGAAAGGTTCAACTAGCGAGCGGTGGGGTAGGAAATCGGATCTGCTCTTGCTTGACACGTGGTTTCCGTCTAGACACATGTGCTTGCTGTGCAGGACTTACTCTCAGAAGACCTGAGTAAAAGTGCTAAGCTGTCACAGCCTGTTGCCCAAGGCTCTGCAGTGACTCAGCCAACGTTCTAGGGTGATGCAAGGCACCCACTGGGACTTCAAAACAAGTCCCAGCCCCCCAAAAGAGGCCATCTTCGTGGGCACTGCAGGAAGACGGTTCCATCTGAGAAGGCAGGTAGTTTACTCGCTACAAAGTCGGCCGTGCCTCTCAATCTCTGTGGGAGAAGGTCCCAGAGCTATCACGCCTCCAAGGTCCATTCACAGGATGAGAAAACTAGGCTCAGAGGGGAAGTGTCTCGCCTGAGGTTACAAGTTCACTCGTCACACGCCCTCTTTAACCAAGGCTAATCAAGCACCCCTTGTGCCAGCCACTATATAAGGCCTGAGGATGACAAAGAGCTGGAAGGTGAAGCCACAGGATTCTGCTAAGGCACTGGCAGCCTGGTTCGGGAGACAGACATTTGAGCAGGCACCTTCAACAAAGCCAGGCTGAAGGCCACAGCAGGAAAACCATGAAAAGGGCCACGGGAACAGGAGGAGAAAGTTAGAGAATTCTGTCTTCGAGGAAGATGGCGGGAAACGTGTGATAGACTAAACAACGGTGCCCCAAAGATGTCTGTGTCCTAATCCCTACAACCTGCTAATATGTTACCCTCCATGGCCAAACAGACTTTGCAGGTGGGATGAAGTTGAAGACCTGGAGATGGGGAGATTTCCCTGGATCACCGGGCGGACTCCATGGAATCTCCCGAGCCCTCCTAAGAGGGAGGCAAGAGAGTCAGAATCACAGGGGGAGATGCAGTGACAGAAGCAGAGGCCAGAGAGAAGGAAAGAAAGACCTGGAGGGGGAGGAAGGGGCCATGGGCTAAAGAACGCAGGCAGCTTCCAGGAGGAACGCAGCCCGCCAACACCTTGATCTTAGCCCAGTGAGACCTATTTTGTAATTCCAAACTCGAGAACTGCCAGAAAATAAATCTGTGTGGTCTGTGCTGTTCCGCCTCGGGTTAACTCTGGTTGGCCTTCAGCCCCAGTGACCATCCTTCCTTGCCAAGTGCAGAGGGCAAAGCTTTCAAGTCAGGGAGCACCTGGGAGCAGCCATCGACCATGGGTGAAGGATCTGGAATGGGGCCAGCACAGAGTAGGGGCTTAGTAAATGCTCGTACCAACTTCCTCTCCTCAGCTACAGTCAGCCAGAGTCAAACAGGACAAAAGTCAGACCTCTCATTTCCCTTGTTGAAAATAAACCCCGGTCCTCCCAGATACTGTCTCATTGTGCATGGAGAGTGCTATAGGATATGAAAGAGGCAGGCTACAAAGCATCTCTGCACCTTTTTAAACTGGGGGTGCAGGAGACCCTAACTAGGACAGCAGCACGCGGAAGAAACCACAGCAGCAGGCCGGTGGGCCGGGTGCCTGCCAAGAGCACGGCTCAGAAGGCCACAGTCAACAAAGGGTTACCCCCTCGAGCAAACACCCGTCCCCTGCTGTCACTTCACATTAAAGCATCAGAGACTGAGCTGGCCGGTGACCGATGCTCTCATTTAACGGTTTGCTCCCCCAATTTCTCTCCCTTCTGACCTTGACTGAAAAAAAAAAAAAAAAAAAAAAAAAAGGAAGAAAGAAAGTGATGAACAAAGCCATCAAAAGAGGCAAGTCCTTAGGCCAGGATTCTCCTGCCAAAACTGACAAGCAGCTCAGACACGACTTTCTACCTGGTGCCCACTCGATCGCCACTACTCCCTGCCCACTTCCTTCCCCCTGCACCCGGCCCTCGCCTGTAGCCGAAGCACCGTGTCCGTATCTCCATGACAGCCCCGTGCTGTGTTCTAACCCCTGTGCTGGCCAGGCGGTGGGAGCGAGTAGACTGGGATTTCCTTGGAAGCAAGGCCCGTGCCTTATTCATCCCTCTGCCTCCAACACAATGTCTCTTGTAGTGTTCTCAAGGAAGAGGAGAGCCACCCATTGACTCAAGCTTTCTGTGGATTAAAGACTTATCTACTCTGAGCAGACTCCCTGAGAGGCACTGGGGAGACGGGGAGGACAACAGTGTGTCATCTATGGTCCCTGTCCCCGGGGAAATTTACAGTCTAAAGGGATACACACATCTGCAATGTCAGCACAGGGTGACAAACGCCATCACAGGAGTGAGTGGGAGAGGTGATCAAAGGGAGACTCGGGGCAGCAGCCAGGTTTAGAAATGAAGAAAGGCCAAGGGCTCGTCTAGATCTCTATTGTTCATGAGTCTTACTGCGAGTGGGCAAGGATTATACGAACAACACAACCCGCATGTGTGGTGCCTAAACATCCAGCCACGACTGTGCTCTGAGATTCTCACTGGCCTGGTGTGAGCTCCCCAGAGTGGGGCCCAGGAAGGCACGGTATCAGAGCAGGAGCTCCACCATGTGTGCTGAATAAACCCCTCAAAACTTTTAGCAGGCAAGAAAAGCAGAGATTCTTGAGGGGACAGAAGCTCAGAGAGCTGGGATGCCTTATGCACATTCACAGAGTCAGGGATGAAATATGGGAAAAGGGTAACCCAGTCACCTGGAGCAAATGAAAACCTGGCTCATCCCGAGGCCATTCTCTAGGTACAAGGCCTTCTCTTGATCTACAAGGCCCTTTAGCTAGCCAAGGTAAGGCTCAGCCTTGACCAAGCCCCCTCCTGTCTAGCCAACACCACGTTTAGGGTCTGATCAAGTCACCCTAAAGGTCACACTGGGAAGGGTGGAAGTTTCCCAAGATTCTGAATTCAACTCAATTTTAAGTGTCCACCAAAGCAGCACGTGAGGACTGAGTCAGGGACCCAGACTCTGCTGGTCACCTGACATGTGACCTGGGGCAAGTTTCTTCCCCTCTCAAACCCTAAATGTCCTCATCAATAAAGTGAGCAAGGTGGCCACTATCAAAGATCTCTGGCTGCAATGCTCTATGAACCCAAACCTGAGGACTCACAGACTCTGCTGAATGAAATCTCACAGGCTGGAAGGAAACAGAAATGACTTTCCTTTTACTGAAGGGGTCCTGGGGCGGGGTGACTCTTTATACACCAAGCAGAAAAAAGGATTGAGAGCTCCCTAGCTTTGGTCACTGAGCTGGAAACATTTAACAAGCAGGCGGTGTGGGGCTCTGCGTGTGTAGTAAGAATACGATGCTACTCACTATGCAGCAGGCCACCAGGGCTCCTTGAGCAAATCCTGCAAGCACATCGCTGGGATGGTGCTTGTGGTCGGACACACGCGACAGTCCTGTGTAAAAGGCCATCATGATCAGGGTGAACTGCAGGAGGGGCCGGAGCAGGCGGGCCCCTCGCCAAGTGAAGCGGGCCTGAAGGTAGAGCTGGGCAGAGGAGAGAAAATGAACAGCTCAGTGCATTAGAACACCACGAGGACACACACTACACTTCCATTAAATGGACCCATCTGGACCTCAGGTGGTATGTTTTACAAAAAGCATTCAGCTTGGATATGACCTCACGCCAGTTATTTAAGCCTTGAGCCTCAGCTCCCATATGGAAGAAAGAAAGAAAGAAAGAAAGAAAGAAAGA